TCTTTGATGAACTCATAGAGGGACGCATCTTGCGGAGTGGGTTCCGTGTGGACCATTATCATTCCGGATCTTTTTCAGGATCTGTGCAGGAGTATTATTTAGAGGATACTCGGTCAGGGTTAGAGTGATGGTTCTCCAGTGAAGTCAGCGTTCAGTGGTTCTATCATGGTTCAGGTATGGTCGACAATTGTCTATGGATGAACCTTGGAGTTAAAGGCACTACCGTTGATAGGACAAGACTGGTAGCATGAAGATGGTAGTGTCAGTTGCGGGTGTTAGATGCATAAGTGGTTGGTCATTGGATGTTCAAGAGAATTGTATTTTCGCATGGGCTGTGTTCGGTTAGAGTTCACTAGTGCTGCGAGATTGGAAGTGGGAACGAGGACTCGTCAGCTAGAGTGAAGATTAAGGCCTCTAATTGTCAGCATGGGAGGTGGATTGAGGTGTCAGACTGGACCAGATTTCAAGAGTACTCTTCAAGATTCCCGAGTATGGGCGATCTTAAGGTTTAATCGGTGATTAATCGCTAGCATTGGTAAGCACAAGTTGTCATCAGTGGGATACGAGAAAGTGAGAAGGATTGGGAATCCTTCAATTCTCGTGTGCCATGAAGACTTAGTCGAATCTAAGTGGGCGAGAGACTTTTTATAAAGTTCTCCAAATGTGAGTTGTGGTTGCGCGAGGTGCAATCCCTTGGGCACCTTGTCAACCAGAAGGGTATTCCGGTCGATCCGGCCAAGATAGAGGTCGTGATGCAGTGGGGGATTCTGAGGTCTCCAACTGAGATTCAGAGTTTCCTGGGTCTAGCGGGATATTACCGGAGATTTATACGGGACTTCTCCGAGATTGCAGTTCCTTTGACCCGACTGACCAAGAAGTCGGTGGCCTTTCGTTGGGGGACTGAGCAGCAGACAGCCTTCGAGAGTCTCAGACAGCAGGTTTCGGGAACCAGGGTAGAGCTCCAGTTAGGATCCAAGTTCAGTTGTGCGTTAGGTCGAGTGCGTGTTCGACCCAGTATGGAAAGTGTTGTAAGACTACGGGGGTAGCCGTAGCATTCACTAGCAGCCAGATAGTGTTAGAGAGTTGTAAGACTATGGGGGTAGCTGTAGCATTCACTAGCGATCAGGTAGTATGGAAAGTGTTGTAAGACTGCGGGGGTAGCCATAGCATTCACTAGCAGCAGATAGTGTTGGAAGTGTTGTATGTCTGCGGGTGTAGCCGTAGCATTCACCAGGTTAGCAGATAGTGTGAGAAGTGTTATAAGTCTGCGGGTGTAGCGGTAGCATTCACAAGGTTAGCAGATAGTGCTAGAGTGATGTAAGTCTGTGGCTGTAGCCGTAACATTCACTAGGTTGATAGATGGAATGAGCGTGTTGTTGGAAGGCGGAAGGAATAGTGGTACCCACCAGCTCGGGTGCAGCAGTGAGGATATGGAGAGCCACGAATTGGATTTCGGAACTACCCAGATTGATTAGATCTGGTTGAGCCAGTGATAAGACTGTAGGAGCGCCACTACAATTATGGGATCAGGGAAGCAATGGACTGTATAAGATTGCTTGTGATATAAGGCTACCATTGGTCAGGTAGCATTCACTTTAGTCTTGGATTTGGTGACGTCAGGATTTTACGCATGGACCCGACCAGTTAGATCAGAAGGTTATTAGGGCCTCAGTGGCATGATGACTAGTCTCAACTAGTTCCATAGGAGGATTTCGTTCAGAAGTTGCATGGAGCGACTGCGTCTGAGCCTTTTGGCTCCGTAATCGGGTTGGAACCCGGTATTTCAGATAACTGTCGAACGGATTGAGACCAGGCAGGTCTCGATAGATTTTGGGAAGCAGCTATGTTGCAGCATACTACTTCAGGCAGTTTAGTGTTCGGGCAATTTCAGCGTCTTGGGCAGTATTAGTAATTGTGTTTTGGGTTGAAGGTACGAACAGAGAAGCATATTGCTTGGGTTGTGCTAAGTCACTCACAGCAGGGTTAGCTGAGCCATGGCCAAGTATAAATGACATGCAGGGATAATTGGGTCTGTGATTTCAGTTTTCTAGGGGGAGCCTCAGGTTATCAGAAGTTGAGCAGTTATTTGAGGGATAAACGGACTTGGATTCAACTATAATGATTCAGTATGGGCGGTCTGTCAGGGAGTCAGGCCATCTAGAGGCTACAGATCTCAGACGGAGTAAACAGGATCATGTTGCAAGGAATTCGTTCATTTGCGGATTATAGAACCCTACGAAGGTTGGTTACGATTACCCTAGGAAGGATAGGGTGTGTCAGAATGGTGATCATGTTACTAGAGTGGTTGGGCGTGTAAGGATTGGTAAGGAATGATTTCGAGGACGAAATCTAATTTAAGTCGGGGAGAGTTGTAACACCCCATTTATTTAATGAATAAATAGGCAAATTAATAAATGAATAATAGCCCTAGAAGCAGAATAGTGTGGCAAGGAGTTAGTTTTGGGGGTTAAGATATAAGTTCCGGATTGGTTTTGTAAGTATTTATGAAGGCATGGACTAAAGGGTAACTTCCGGGACTTCATTTGAAGAAATTATGGAAGCAGGGGTGTAATTGGTAAATTTTGTACCTATATTGTAATGGATTTTTATGCTGAGGGTTTAAATGGTAAATATGAGAGATTAAAGTTGAAAAGATTTTATGGGGTCAGGGGATAAAGTGTAAGTTTTGGGCTTGATTTGAAAAGAATTTTAGAGGGCAGGGTTGAAAAGGTAAAATATGGATTAATTTTTAATGAAAAGGGAAGGAGGGATCGAATCTGTCATTATGGGATACTTGCTTATAGGCTCGGGGTATATAAAACCCATCACCCGTTAACCCTAAGGGGAGGCAAGCTCCCTGTTACCGATTGAAAGATACTGAAGGGGTAGGTCGGGTACCCATATTTGCCTGACATGGGGTAGGTCGGGCACCCCGGTATGCCTGACAGTGGGGTAGGTTGAGCACCCCGGTATGCTCAGCAGGGTAGGTCGGGCACCCAGATATGCCTGACAATATGTGATTGTATGGTATGTGGTATGATGGGGGAACTCACTAAGCTTCGTGCTTACGGTTTTCAGTTTTGGTTTCAGGTACTTCGTTTTTAAAGGAAATGAGTCGACTCGATCGCAGCACATCACACTATGGTTTCCGCACATGAGATCTTTGGGATTATACTCTGATATTGTTTTATGATAACATGTTTTGCTTATTTCTACTTTGGTTTTGGCATGCCATGATATTATGAATGTTTTATTATACTGTCGGTATTATAATAACGTATTTAAAAATGAAATTTTTGGCTTGAATTTTGGGATGTTACATTTAACCTACAAAACTCACATCTGTTTCAGATGTGTGATGATGAGAGACAATTCAAATTGAAACCAAAATCAAACTAACAAAAAAACATAATCATGTTCTTCATTTGTGATGCAGTTCTGGGTCTTGAAATAGAAAAAAGAACAAAAAAATTTACTACTCTGACAATAAATATAATCAAAACAAAATACATTCAAAATACAATCAAACCAGAAATATCTTGAAGATATCGTTTATGAATAAGGAAACTATACATACAATCTGTGAAATCAAATCTAATGATCCTGAAATCATGAAGAAGGAAACCAGAAAAAATATTTTTGTTCTTAAGACATAGAAATACATACCCTTAAATCATATCAGATGAAATTGGAATCATAGACAATGAACCAGAAATATTACTTTGTTCCTGAGGTATGTATTCGAAACAAACCATGGACCTAAACCAAAATCAAACACTTAGACTTGATGAATCTGAATCAAAATTTTCTGAAATCAAATACATTGGGCATATTAAGAAAAAAAAGACACCAACATTTATCGATACCTCTACAAAATGATGAATGCCATCGATTGTTATCCATTGAACCCTAATTTCGATTTTGTTTTCTATTTTACAGATGGATGTCGATTTCCAATCGATAGGCCGTTAGACCAAATTTCTTGTTCATTGTCGAACCATTGTTTACAAATCTGTGGAATCTACAAAACTCAAGGATGAACTTTTCTTGGTAGACCGTATTTCCAATCGATCGACTGGTATACAAGTTTTGAAAATGAGTCTTGATTTCTAATCTTCGATTTTGTTGATGGTTTTCAGTTTACGGTGAGGATGGGGAAATTTTAATGATGCAGTTGGCTGGTGGAGAGGGACGAAGAAGATGATGTATGTACATGGTGAAGATGTAGTAGAAAGGAGATGCACTCGATGATGAAGAAGGAGGATGGAGGAGAAGCAATCGACGGTGAAGTCGATGTTGTGAAATTGAAGGTGAGAGATTAAAATAAGGGGTAGGGTACTGGTGGGGGTGGGATGGTTGCCTGATTTTTTTTTAAATAAGAATTTTATTAAAATAAATATTAAAAAAAAGAAAAAGAAAAAAAATCAAAAGGGCAAAATGGTCATTTCAAGTATTCCAGGGATCAAAACCAAAGGAAATTCCTAATTTTGGACCTTCCATACAGGTCAAAAACTTTTTGGACCCTATCCAAAGTTTTTTGAATACCACAATGACTAATTTTGTAGTTTTGTCATTGTGGGATATGATCGTATTCCAAAGGAAAGATAATAGGAGTGGAAATTTGAGCGGGAGTTTAGAGGGTAAAATGGGTATTTAACTTTGTAAAATAGCATACGGGAGAAGATGCTATTTAGAGAGAGAGAGAGAGAGAGAGAGAGAGAGAGAGAGAGAGAGAGAGAGAGAGAGAGAGAGAGAGAGAGAGAGAGAGAGAGAGAGTCTTATTCTCAAACAAAGACCAGGTCCAAAGTTTGTCATTTAAATCCAATTTTGTCATTCCATAAGCTTTGTGATCATCGGAAATTATTATCATCTTCTTGCTGTTTCCAACTGTTTTTTCTCCCACTTATTCAGCCCAATTCTTGTCTCCATCTACATCTGCACACTCCTTGACCAACTTTTATCTACCAATTCCCCAATTTTTTTAATCCTCACAATCAACCATGAAAAATATGTTAAAGAACTGCTTTTGCTGCACTTCTCATGAAGATCACGAACCAACGATCAGGTATGCTCGCTGATCAAATCTTATTTTGTTCTAGTTATTAATGTTTTCAACTCAACTTCTCGTATATTATATGCAGTGCCCATAAGAAAACGGATTACCCATGGAATATGTACACCCTCAAAGAACTTGTGCACGCAACCAACAATTTCCATAACGATAACAAGATAGGGGAAGGAGGGTTTGGGAGTGTTTACTGGGGTCGAACAAGTAAAGGGACTGAGGCAATCTTTAATCCCTTTTTATCCAAATTTTGTTATATAGTTTATGATGATACACTTGTTTACACTAACTTCTGCACATAAACGTTAATATTTTTTCCTTTCTAATTATATCATCTTGCAGTTAGCAGTGAAACGGCTCAAGTCAATTAACGCGAAAGCTGAAATGGAATTTGCAGTTGAGGTGGAGATTCTTGGAAGAGTTCGACACAAGAATTTGTTAGGACTAAAAGGATTCTATGCTGGGGGAGATGAAAGGCTTATTGTCTATGATTATATGCCAAACCACAGCTTGCTGACTCACCTCCATGGCCAACTTGCTGTCGATTGTCTCCTAGATTGGCCTCGACGAATGAGCATTGCCATTGGTTCAGCAGAAGGATTAGCGTAAGTTCCACTAATCAATGAACAACTCCTCGACAAGACTCGATTGTTCTTACCTCAGGGGTCTGATCTAGATCTTATGCTATTTTCTAACTCTTTATGGTTGAATTTATCATTCATGAATAGGTATTTGCACCATGAAGTAACTCCTCATATAATCCATCGTGACATAAAAGCTAGTAACGTACTTCTAGATTCGGATTTTCAAGCAAAAGTTGCTGATTTTGGGTTCGCGAAACTTATACCAGATGGGGTTACTCATATGACCACAAGGGTAAAAGGAACCCTAGGGTATCTTGCACCAGAGTACGCCATGTGGGGAAAAGTCTCAGAAAGCTGTGATGTTTATAGCTATGGGATACTATTACTTGAGATCTTAAGTGGTAAAAAGCCATTAGAGAAGCTCCCTGGAGGTATCAAGCGTGATATTATACAATGGGCAACTCCATTTGTTCAAAAGGATTCGTATGAGCTCATCGCCGACCCCAGATTGAAGGGTAGATTTGATCATGCGCAGCTAAAGGTTGTGGTGAAGATAGCCCTGGCTTGTACTGATAGTAATCCAGAGAATCGGCCCAGCATGCTGGAGGTGGTAGAATGGCTAAAGAGTGGTATTGGTGGTAGGAGAAAGGAGATACGTATTGTTAAAGATCGAGTGGATGAAACCGAGGATGAAGATGATTTCTGTGATGATGATACTGATTATTATGAAACTTTTGATATGAAGAAGCATTCGGGTAGGGTTCCAAAAATGCCATCGAGAACAAGATGAATTAGAGCTACAATTTTCTTAAATCAATTCTCTAGAATTTTTAGTTGATATATATTTATCATGTAATTAAACTTCTGTTACTTTTCTGTTTGATTGGTTTTGCTTATTCTATATTTACATCTGTATTATTTGATGTACTTCTCTTGTGAGTGGGTGATTGTTTATGTTTTTGATTTTTTTTTTTTTTTACGTTAGTGAGAGGGTATATATAGTCACGTTAACCTTAAGAAAGTTGTGCATTATTGGTGACTCCTTAAGTTAAAGGATACGTTGATGTTTTTGTCAACCAAAATTTTATGTCAACCTAGGTGTCACATAAGTTTTTGTTATTTTTATCATGTTTTACCTACAAGTGAGATGTGGTGTCATTTATTGCCCACAAATTGAGAGAGAGAGAGAGAGAGAGAGAGAGAGAGAGAGAGAGAGAGAGAGAGAGAGAGAGAGAGAGAGAGAGAGAGAGAGAGAGAGAGAGAGAGAGAGAGAGAGAGAGAGAGATTTAAACCCTGATAATATTTATTGATAATATAAATATACATGGAAAAGTGAATATACATATAAGGGTGTATAACCATAGATACCCAATGTATATATAAACTATGTAGTTTTGATTAGTGGATTACTTGATTAATTTTCTGGGAAAAAAAATACAATTTTCGTAAAACATTTGCTGCATGTCCTAATTAGACTTGACTAATATTGATAACATGGAACTCACATCCTCCTTAATCGCCTTGTTTCATACGATTTCTAAAAATCAAATTCAAAGTAGTAAAAGATACGATTTCAAATAATCGAAATTCAAAGAAAAAAAAATTTCAAGAGAAATCGGGATTCACAAAAAAAAAACGTTGTTGCATCTACTGAAGAAAAAACGAATGGTACGTTCTGATTAAATCTTTCGGCAAACGACTCTTTAACTGATGTAACTAAAGTGTAAACCATAGCCATTCTAATATTTTCTGATGCGTGAAAAAATCAATTTTAAATAAATTGTTGCATGAGGTGAATAATAACATTATGTAATATGTAAATATTAAATGAATTTCATTACTAAAAAATAAAGTTTCATTCGATTTTTATACATTTGCGTAATAGATTTTGGTATATAGTGTTACTCTAACTTATCTTGAAGCTTGTATGTTACTTTTACTCAATTCAATGAAGCTAAAAACATACCAACATGAAATAATATCAGAGTTAACCTAGAGTTATACCGGGATTTGCAGAAAAAAATTAGCAATTAAATAATGCTATTATAACTTATAGAAATTAAACTTACCTCTTGTTTAAGCTTTTCTTTCAAAACTTTGAGATCTAAAGACAGTTTATGTTAGATTTTTGGGATGTAATAGAGCACTTGGAATTCAGAGAATCGTGTTAAACACTTTTAAAATCGGGCAAATTTTCAGAAAAACTAATTTATGATGAATTTTTAATAAAGCAATACAACCCAAAGAAAAATTTTCCCTTGGACCCCGCTCCCAGGGGCGCTGCCCCCGAACCCGCGTTCGCTCAAGGGATTCGCCCCTAAATGACAATCTACTTTAAATCTTGAATAATATTACATTTAATGACAACTTCATTATTACTTTTAAACAATTAGAAGGTCCTTTGAATTAGACATACAAACCTTTGATTTACTTATCATTGATACATTATATGCACAAAATTGGTTACATGTGATGAACAACACATTTTTTGTTTATATGTTTTGCAGCAACAAAGAATGGAGAAGGTTGTGATGTTTCAAACTGAAGTAACTGATCAGGCTATAGAACTGTATTTAAATGAAAATGTTGTCACAAATGATTTCGTGGAAGCAACATTTGAATATGAAGAATTTAAGGATTTCGATGTGAACATTGAATTTGATGAAGACGAAGATAATGTCGACAGGATACTAGGAAATATTTTTGATACACTCGATGATGCTTATACATTTTATAATGATTACTCCTTTTTACATGGCTTTAGTATACATAAAGATGACACAGTTAAAAGCACGAAAACAAAGGAGCCTTATCGGAAGATATATGTATGCAACAAAGAAGGCTTCAAACGGTCAGAAAAAAAATGATTCAAGTGGAAATGAGATAAAACGTCGTAGAGATGTTAGAACTGGATGTCAAGCAAAGCTTCGAATTACAAGATAGGAGGATGGGAAATGGTTGGTGGACTTATATAATGACACACACAATCACGAATTGACCATAAAACCATTGAAGGTGATGAAGCATCGATCTCATAGTAATTTCATGTTGGATTAGGTGTCTAAGCCCATAAGTATTTTCGTATGTACTTGATTTGATTATGAGCATGGTCCTTTTGGGTTGCCTTCACTCATGCAACTTGATATGATGACAAGTGGAGAGAAAGTAGAATTTATTATATGAATAATAAATTGGTACTGGAAATGGTTTTATTAATATATTACAAGATTAATATATTATTTGGAAATCGTATTATTTAATTAGTATTGATCAGAAATTAATTTGGTGATCAAACAGAGACTGGTTAAATTAAGGGGACTGATATTGCAATTAACTGTTAGTTGCAAGTTGGGCTATGGACTCCTAATAGAAGGGATGGACGAAATCTATGGGAAGCCCATGAAGATTTCATCCAAGGGGCCTTCTAGAAGGGTTCCATGGATTGCTTAAGGCCTAAACAAGAAAATTAGGGTGTCCATCTTAAACCCTAATAACCTCAACTATAAATAGACCCTTATACATGAGGAATTCAGTTATATGCTTCTTGGAGTTGCCCTAGCCGAATTCCACCTCTCTCCCAAGTCATTCTTTGCATTAGGTGTTTGTGACTCCATTAGAGGTGCAACACTTGGGGCACTAGGCTTTCAAAAGTCAAGATTAAGAAGGATTATTCTTGTTATTGCTACATAACAAGTAAGGTAAAGTTTCTAACCCTAATCATATGTGATTTTCAAAATGTGTATGCTAGTTCATAGGGTTATTGCTTTGGTATTCATAATTGTATGTTCAATAGAGAAAAACCTAGATCCAAAGCAATTAGGGTTGCATGTACACCATAGGATTGTTGTTATGCTCAAAACCCATCATTTCCACCATTCAATAAAAGGTAAATCTCTTATGGTGCAATAAGGTCAAGCAGGGTTGAAACCTTCTCAGATTAAAAAGGTTATCAATACAATGAAAACCTCAAATGTAGCTGATGTTACTTCAAAGCAATGTGTTGATGTCTTATCTGAGCAATGAAAACAACATAGCGGAAAAGAGTTCTATGGACTTATAAAACATTTTCAACATAAAATGTTAGTTGATAATGACCAATATTTTGTCGTGGATTTAACTAATGATGGGTATCCTAGAAATATTTTTTGGGCAGATGGTAGATCAAGAGATGCCTATACAAAATTCAAAATGTTTTTGTGTTTGATGTCACTTATATGCTAACAAATTTAAGATGCCTTTTGCTCCTTTTACTATGGTGAATCATCATGGGCAGTCTATACTTTTTAATGGAGCATTGCTTGAAAATGAAAAGGAAGAAACATTTGAATGGTTATTTGAACATTCCTCAAATATATTTTTAGCAAGTATCCCAAAGCAATTATTACCAATCAAGACAAAGCTATGGGAAATGCAATAAAAAAAGTGTTTCCAAAGACTTGGCAGCGCGTTTGTTCATGGCATATCATGAAGCATGAAATTGAACACCTTCGATCGTATGTTTCCCAATACAGTGATTTTTAAGAAACGTACAAAGAATGGGTAAATAGTGACACATTTAAACAATTTGAAGCAATGTGGGAAGTTATTCGTAGTAAGTATAAACTAGAAAGCAATTGTTGGATTAGTGACATGTATAACCAATGTATACATTGTTCTAAAGCCTTTAAGGATATTTCCTTTGCTAGTATGACCACAACCAGACGAAGTGAGAGCATCAATTTGTTTTTTTGATGGATTTGTAAACTTGAGGACGATGTTGAATGAATTTTTTGTACAATACGACAAAGTAGTTAAGTATCGAAGGGTCGTCGAAGAAGACGAGGACTTCAAGACTATGATGTAACATCGCGATCTTGAAGTATTTTCAATTTTAAACCTATATATGAGAATATTGAATTTTACTCCCTAAGTATTTGAAAGAGTGCAAAATGGCCCATAGTGGCATTTTGGTAATTTAGGCAAAGGGGAGTACGATAATCGTACGTTGTGTACGTTGAGCGTACTAGGGCGGACCCTAGTATGGTGGGCGTACATCTCATATGTAGGGCGTACGTGGAGAAACTTCAAACCCTAATCTTTAGGGTGTGGTCAATATATAAACAACATTATAGCCCCATTTATCATTCTCTCATCAGCCTCCAATTGAAAATTCAACCCTCTAGCAAACCCTAAGTGAGAAGAGTGCTTTTGAGCTCATTTGTGTTCTTTGTTGGTGTTCTTGAAGAAGAAGAAGTTGGTGGAAGGAGCTTGGAGCTTGGAAGCATCTTGGATCTGAGATTGTCTTCTTATTGGAAACCTCCAGGAGGTATAAAATTCACAACTTTATTACCCTATCTTGTAGATCTAGCCATTTCTTTATTCAGGGTACTCTTGGTCCCAAATATGGTGATTCTTGAGCATGGTATGCTCTTGACCCATTAAGTCGTCCTTTTAGGATTTATGAGGGGTCTTGAGTCATAAAAATGTGGTCTTGGTGCTTAGTTTCACTCCATGCATGCTATAGATGGTCTTAATGCATTTAGATGTTGAGATTTTGTGTTTTATGCACTTAATGGACCTGCTAAGTCATGAAGTTGGAAACTTTATGACTCATGATGGTATTTTAGCCTAGGATATGCAATTGGACGTGTTAACTCGAAGGAATAAGTGCTTAATAGGCTAAAAGGAGGGCTGCTACGTATGTTGGGCATACCACAGGGTACGCTACGCGTACGCTGATCTGGACCCGATGAATCGGACGCTAGTACGCCCCACATACCTCTGGGGTACGCCCCGCATACAAAGCCTGAG